TCAAACAAGTTCAAGGTCAGGCAGATGTGCAGGAATTCATGTCCAGGCCACCCTGTGCCGAAGACACAACCACTCACATATTTGACAATTGCAGACATGAAGACTGTGAGCGGTGGCATGTGTCACACAGAGCCACACCGCTGGCTTGAGAAGGAGCCTCGAGTTTGAAACCTTTGTCCTGCTCGTCCTTCCAGGATGGTTGATTCAAATGGGGCAGTGACAATGACTGGTATTTATTAAGCACATTTTATATGCCAGGCAGAGTTCTCACCTGTGTGTGTGGATCCGTTTCCTGCTGGTGTTAACAGATTACCCCACTCTTAGCTGACTTAACACACATGTATCCTCTTACGGTTCTCTAAGTCAGAAGTCTCGCAGGTGCTAAAACCAAGGTGTGTGCAGGTCTGTGTTCCTTCTCGAGGCTCTAGAAGCGAATCCGTTCTCTGGACTGTCCTAGCTTCTAAAGGCTGCCATGTTCTTTAGCTCGTGGCCCCTTCCTTGCATAACTCCAACCTCTGCTTCTGTTATCACGCCTGATTTTCTGACTCTCCGGCCTCTGTCTTATAAGAACCCTCTCATTGATGACATTGGGACCACATAATCTAGGTTCATCTCCCCATGTCAAGATCGTTAATCATATCTGCAAAGCCCCTCCCCCACTTTTTTTTTTTTACCATGGGAGGTCATATATTCACAAATTCTGGGGATTAGGATGTGACCATTATTCCAACCGACCACAGCATCTACTAACCCTCTCATGCTAACATTCAGAGACTGTAACAATGATCACCCTCCTGTTGGTTATTTGGATGAGGAACTGAGCCCCAGAGCACTGAGTACCCTTGTTGGGGTTGCAAAGGCTTGAGAGGCGAAGCATTCAACCCAGGCATTGGGCTCCAGAGCAGGAACTTTTGGTTATTACAATATTCTCCCTGTCTGGATCTTAGTATCTGAATTTGAACCCTGGGGAGAAAGGTAGAAATGAAGGCTTAAGATGAATGAACTCATTAAAGTGTAGATGTTGGGGTTTTTGGTGAGGCAAGGATATAAGCTTGAAGCTGTTAGTAATAAAGGGTTTGGAGGAAATGAGAAAATGTATCTCTCTCCTGTCTCCATAAATAGTCCTAAAATATCTGGCTCGTGTGCCCCCTCTGACATGTACAAAGGGCCTTCTGGTATCTTCTCTGTGTATAACAAGATCTCAGGGTGGGTTTTAGTCTCTCTCATCTGATGTTTGGCAAAACTGCCCCCCACATCTGCTGTGGTTTGACTCCAAAGCCTCAGCAACTCTCTCTCCTCCTGGCCTGCAGGACACTGACAATGGCAGGATACCTGTCCCAGCTACCCCACCGCTCGGGACAAAGGGTTCTCCAAGCATTTGAACGTGCCAGTGTCCAAGGAATAACGTGGTCCTCACCTGCATGTTCCAGACGTGGGTGTCTGGCTATAAAGGCTCATTTTGGAGTTTAATAATCGTCTTGAACCACCCCCAAAATATTTTCTATTAATACCCATGACTTGGCCCGAGTAGACCCATTAGCATTCCAGACCATCAGTTGATATCGATTCATTGCATTTGCATGGAATTCTTTACGGCACCAATAAGCAAGCCATGCAAATATCTACAGGGGTGAGGGTCAGGAAGGATCACAAGAGAAGAGCAGTGCAAAGGCCCTGAGGTGTCAGCAAGTTTGGCTTGTGCAAGGAACAGTAGCTGGGGAAGATCAAGAGAGGGGAAGATAATCAATGAACTTCAAGGGAAACGGAGTGCACACTACGGATCGGATTCTAAAGGCGATGAGGATTTTGTATGAATGCATGCTGCTCCTTCTCACTTTGATCTCTTCAGTGGCTTCTGGTTGCATTCAGAATATAAGGAAGGCTCTGCAGGGTCTGGTCCTGTCCACCTTGCCATTCATCCTTAGGTCCTCGCTCCTCGTGGCCCCCGCCATGCTGGTTCCACTCGCTCCCGGAACACATCTAGCTGTTGGCATCTCAGGCCCTTTTCACGGCTGGTTCTCCTGCCTGGAGGATCCCCCGCCATCCCCGGACGCCCTCCAGCTCCTCTTAGGCCTCCCTCTTCCTTCTCTTCCTCCGGGAGTAGCTTATGTGTTATTGACCTTACCCTAGGCATTCCTTTCGCAGCCTCAGTTCTCCTCCTTCATAGCCACGATCACAACAAAAGGTTGTATTTGTTTCTGGTTTCTTTTTTTTTGAGACAGAGTCCCGCTTTGTTGCCCAGGCTAGAGTGAGTGCCGTGGCGTCAGCCTAGCTCACAGCAACCTCAAACTCCTGGGCTCAAGCAATCCTCCTGCCTCAGCCTCCCGAGTAGCTGGGACTACAGGCATGCACCACCATGCCCGGCTAATTTTTTCTATATCTATTAGTTGGTCAATTAATTTTTTTCTTTCTATTTTATAGTAGAGACGGGGTCTCGCTCTTGCTCAGGCTGGTTTCGAACTCCTGACCTCGAGCAATCCGCCCACCTCGGCCTCCCAAGTGCTAGGATTACAGGTGTGAGCCACCGTGCCCGGCCTGTTTCTGGTTTCTTTACTTCGTGATCTGTCTCCTCCATCGACTATCAGCCCCAGGAAGGCAGGGATGGTCGGTGCCCGCTTCGCCTGCTGCGGTGGGCTCATGCTCTAGCACTGCGCCCCACACATTGTACGTGCTCAGTAGAAACTTGCTTCTGAAGGAATGAGTAAAAGCATGCATCAAGAAAGAGCATCGAGATGTCCCCCCTAAACTGTCCAGACCTTTGCTTTAATAATTCATAAATGCAACAAACAATTTACCATTGAAAAGCATTTTCAGCAGACTGGTAGCGGTGAGAGGCTGGAGTCTGGAGATCTCCAAGGGGCAGCAGGACCACAACGCAGGGGAGAGCTGGCAAAGGCCATCCGTCCTTTGGTCAGTAACAGCAGAGGCCGAGAAAAGGGATGGATTCAGGAGCTATTTGGAAAGCTATTTGGAAAGCTATTTGGAACCAACTGGATGGACGAGTAGGACACAGGGAGGGGACAGGGACGGCAACGGTTCGCTCGTGCTGATGAAATAATATGTAGAGAAGGCTAACATATTTTGGGCTGTATATCAAAAAACCAAATCTTGGGATTTGAGATGCTTGAGGGACGTTTAGGTGGACGTGTCCAGGAGGCAGTTAGAATTGCAATGCCCGCACTCAGAAGTGACGCTTGGCCAGAGATGTCATGATACCAGGAATGACGGTATTGTTTTGGATTATGTTCATGAGTTCTGGGCACACGTCCTGGGCCATGGTAAACCCAGAGGTATTAATAGTGTGGCCCAGAGGTTAAGAGCTCAGTTTCTGGAGTCAGGGCGTTGGGGTTCGGCTGTTTGTGGTGCTCGGCTGGGTGCCTAGGCGCACCTGTGCCCCATCTGCACACATCTGGGTCAATAACAGCACCCACCGCACTGGGCTCCCTACCGTTACGATTATTATGAATTTACAGCAGTGGGTGGCACTTAAAGAGTTTTTTTTTTTTTTTTGAGACAGAGTCTCACTTTGTTGCCCAGGCTAGAGTGAGTGCCGTGGCGCCAGCCTGGCTCAGAGCAACTTCAACCTCCGGGGCTCAGTGATCCTCCTGCCTCAGCCTCCCGAGTAGCTGGGACTACAGGCATGCGCCACCATGCCCGGCTAATTTTTTGTATATATATTTTTAGTTGGTCAATTAATTTCTTTCTATTTTTGGTAGAGACGGGGTCTCACTCTTGCTCAGGCTGGTTTCGAACTCCTGACCTTGAGCAATCCTCCCGCCTCGGCCTCCCAAAGTGCTAGGATTACAGGCGTGAGCCACCGCGCCCGGCCTACTTAAAGAGTTTTATCTGCTATTTTTTATGATGGCAGTTAATGATCGGAACAAGCCTAAGCGGTAGGTAGGATGAGCACCCCCGTGTTTCCATACAGCAAAGCTAAAACTTAGAGAATTTAAGGAACTTCCCGCCACCCCGAGTCAGCCAGCCCGCCAATCGGTGGACCCGGGATTTGAACCTGAATGTTGCGCCCCCGCTGTCAAAGGCAGGTTCGACCCCAGACCCCGCGCCACCAGCCGGCGGGGGTGAGAGCCGTCCACAGGAGGCGGGCGGACGAGGCGTCACCCGGAAAGAGCCCGTCCCGGCGGGTAGGAGGAAGCTGCGAGGAGGAATAACCAGAGAAACGAGAAAGAGGCTCCGCGGGCGGGAGAGCCGCGCTGTGGGGAGAAGGAGAAGTTTGAGGGCTCTCGTGCTCAGTGGCGCCACCTACCTGTGGAGGACTTAAACCACTCGTTCTGGGTTTTTGATGCCAAGCCCATTACCTGGATTTGTTGAGTTGGTACCATCTGACGTCCGCCTCCCCCTCAACTGTCCTGACCTTTGCTTTAATAATTCGTAAATGCAACGAACAATTTATAATTGAAAAACATTTTCACATCGGGGTCCAGTTGGGCTTTCATGGCCACTGTGAGAGGCAGGATAAGTAATTAACCTATGCTCTGCTGATGAGAAAACAAAAGCCCGAAGAGGGCAAGTGGTGTATGGAGCTTAAGAACTCTGACATCATAGAGTGCACTTACACAAACCTAGAAGGCTGAGCCTACTACACACCTGGGCTTTAGGGTACAGCCTATTGTTCCTAGACTGCAAACCCATGCAGCATGTTGCTGTACTGAACACTGTAGGCAATTGTAACACAATGGTGAGTACTTAAGTACCTAAGCATATCTACAAAGATACAAAAGGTACAGAAAAAATATGGTATTGTAATCGTATAGGATCACCGTCCTATATACAGTTCACTATTAATCAATATGTCATTATGCAGTGCATCACTGTAAATATTTTTTTCTCTTCTGAAAAAGTAAGTTTTTTTTTACTGTCTGGAGATAGAAAGAAAAATGGCATGCATGACATCAAACCTGGAAGATAGTGGGAAGAGGAAGGGGACCTGTGGGAACAAAATTTTTGTCTTTTTCCAATCCAGAGGGAAGAGGCCAGCCGAGATGAATGGATGGTCCAGTTACCTGTTGGGATGGACGACCTTCCTCCTCTATTCCTATGAGACACAAGGAAGTGAGTACACTGGGAAACAATGGGGGGGGGTGGATTTAGAAACTGGGAAAGAGGCCGGGCGTGGTGGCTCATGCCTGTAATCCTAGCACTTTGGGAGGCCGAGGCGGGTGGATTGCTCAAGGTCAGGAGTTCGAAACCAGCCTGAGCGAGACCCCGTCTCTACAAAAAATAGAAATAAATTAATTGACCAACTAAAAATATATATACAAAAAAAAAAAATTAGCCGGGCATGGTGGCGCATGCCTGTAGTCCCAGCTACTCGGGAGGCTGAGGCAGTAGGATCGCTGAGTCCCGGAGAGCTTTGATTTTAGCTTCCCAGTTATGGCGAGTATTTTGCTAAGAGGATAGATCTTCAGTGTTCTCATCACCAAAAAAAAAAAAAAAAAAAAAAAAAAAAAGAAACTGGGAAAGAATGAATGGGCCAAAGTCAAGATTCCTGGCACCAAGTAGGGAGGAGAAAGCTTGGCAGAAATCTCAGGTAGACCTCAGACAGATCTGCCACTTATTCTCTGTAATCTGGTCAAGCAGTGTAACCTCTCTGATGTCAGTTCCCAGACTGTGAAAGAGAAATAAAGGCATTTATCTCACATGGTTATTATGAAGATTAAATAAAATAATGGATACAAGCAGCTTTCATAATACTCAGCACATGGAAGGGGGAAACGTGAATATGTTAACTAAAAAGGCAGGCTACATAATGCCAATAAACTGAATGCTTGGACACCCTAATTATACTCTTAATGTATCTAGGAATTTAAATTAACAACCAAAAGACTATATGACAAGCATGGAAACAGAACAAAGAGAGACCTCAATTATATATAGTTCACTCAAGCTATTGAGTGAGGCATTCTCCACAATTAGAATCCTTTTCTGCCTGAGAAATTCTTCTCCTTTGGATAAGGCTCAAGAAATGCTCACATGTTCAAGTCCTTTGATCCCGTGAAGCCCTTCTTCAATGGTCACATTCTTTATTCCAAAGATTCTTAACATGGGGTCACTGGATGAGCACTAGAGTTCATGAAAACCTGAATTTGTATTTTAAAAAAGTGTATATTTTATTAGAGTACTGAGAATAGCTATTGTAACAAACGAACTCCAAACTATCAGTGGGTTAACACAATGTCATTTTTTTTTTCTTGCTTCTGCAAGGACCGGTGAGGGTGCACCTAGTCAGCAAACAGTGCTCCACACGGTCACTCAGGGATCCAAGCTCCCTCCCTCTGGGGGCTCCACCATCCCCGAGGGCTTCAGAGTATTATGAGGATTCTTTGCTTTTAGCCGATGATGGACAAGGGTCAAGAGACTCTGGAGGATCTTGGAGGAGAAGTTTATTTGTTGTTGTTGTTGTTTTGCTTTTGCCACGCCAGGACATGCTTCACTTCCTGCCACTTCCATAACTCATGTGGCACTTAGCTGCAAGTGAGTCTGGAATTATAGTCCAGCAGTGCCTTTGGGAGGAAATACAGAAACTGATTTTGGTGAACACACAGCCATCTCAACCAAGAAGACATATAAGTATTTTCCTAGGAGAAGTTCGGGGTTCTCAGAAGAACTGACAAGTCTCTAAAAGGATAAGAACTCACAGTTTATTCCAACAAGGAACAATGTGCTTGACAGAGTATGAACTTTCCAGTTGTAGTCTCATTTCTGTCATGCCTCGCTGAGATCACATCCACACTCCTGTGCTGAAATTCAATATCTCCAAGTCCCCTCTGCACACATTTACAGAAAAATTCATTCAATACACATTTATTTTGTCATCTCCAAGTTCCAGTCTCGTTGTTATGGACCAGGAATGCAGCAATAGATAAAACCTAGGCCCTCCACTCAGAGATTTCACAGTGAGTGGGAGTGACAGATACATAAACAGATAATTTTTTTAAAAAAATTGGTAAGTATGTCTATCAAGATTGGCTCTGAGTATTATAAGCATAGGAAGAGCATTGGTCCAAATGGAACCAAGTTTTTATGGGTGAATAGCAGGGACCAAAGCTAGAGAAAAGCCAAAGGCAGTCCAGGGTAGGATGAAGGGCATGAGCAAACCCCAAAGATAAGAAAGAGCATGGGGTAAGGTCAAGGGCATGTTAAGCAGGGAGTGAGAACAGGCGGGTCAGCAAGGTCTGGATTATGGAGGATTATAACCCAGGTAAGAAGATTAGGCCATCTGCTGGATTACTTTGCAGATGGCTAATAGTATTCATTATGTGCTGATTCTTACTAACAATTCCCCAAAATAACCTCAATTCCATGTACAGGGACATCTTTCCTGCCCCTACCCCCACCATAGTATGCCATACAATCAGTGGTGTCCATGATTGCAAAAAAGCATTGATGATGATGATAGCTAATAATTGTTAAGCAGTAGCCATGGGCCAAGTATGCTTTTAAGCACTTTCCAGATTTAAACTGGTTTAAACATCACAAAACAAGACCAAACAGTTCTGAAAAATGGAGGTGGAACATGGAAATGATATTTAAAGATTTCTAATTGCATCAACCCATGGGTGGGGCTCAAAGAGGAAGTCTGGCTTCTCCATTCTCTCCTACCACATCCCTCATCCCCACCATGACCTATTTCAGAGTATGCAGGGTAAGAATCTAATCTGGAACTAGTAATAGGGCTATTAGGTTATAGACCTTGAAGTAAGAGATCGTGTCTTGTCCATCTGTGTTAGTAGAGGGCTAAGTACTGTAATGACCCTCAAATGTCAGTGGCTTACCTCAGTCAAGGTTCATGTCAAACTCATCGAACAGTTCAAGGTGGATGTTTGGTGGGAAACATTTTGTTGTTGCAATCCAGAGAACAGGATCCTTCTGCTTTGTGTCGCCACCATTCCCCAGGAACTTAGTGTTCTCTGCCCAGTCTTTGTCAGAGTTTCTCAACCTCAGCACCATCTTTGTAGTGGGGGGCTGTGTGCAATGAAAACTTCGTCCATGTTCATGGATGGAAGAATCAATATTGTTAAAATGTTCATACTACTCAAAGCAATCTACAGATTCAATGAAATCCTTATCAAAATACCAATGACATTCTTCACAGAAATGGAAAAAAAGTTCTAAAATTTATATGGAACCACAAAAGGCCCAGAATAGCCAAAGCTATCCTGAGAAAAGAGAGCAAAACTGGAGGAACCACATTACCTGACTTCAAATTATACCACAAAGCTATCGTAATCAAAACAGCATGGTACTGGCATAAAAACAGGCACATAGACCAATGGAACAGAATAGATAACCCAGAAATAAATATGCACATTTACAATGAACTCATTTTCAAAAAAGATGCCAAGAATATACATTAGGAAAAGGACAGTCTCTTCAATAAATGGTGCTGAGAAAGCTGGATATTCACGTAAAGAAGAATGAAATTAGACCCTTATCTCTCACCATATAAAAAAATCAGATCTAAGTGGATTAAAGACTTAAATTTAAAACCTGACACTATGAAACTACTAGAAGAAAACATTGGAGAAACAAAACACTCCAGGATATGATTTCCTGAGTAAGACCTCAAAAGCATAGGCAACCAAAGCAAAAATGGACAAATGGGATTATATTAAGCTAAAAAGCTTCTACAAAGGACAACAAAGTGAACAAAGTGAAGTGGAAAACCAAAGAATGGGAGAAAATATTTGCAAACCACCCATCTGACAAGGGACTAATAACTAGAATATATAAGGAATTCAATAGGAAAAAAAATCAAATAATCCAAGTTAAAGATGGGCAAAAGATCTGCATAGAAATTTCTCAAAAGAAAACATACAAATGGCCAACAGGTATAGGAAAAAATGTTCAGCATCATTAGTTGTCAGAGAAATGCAAATCAAAACTGCAAGGAGATATCATCTCACCCCAGTTAAAACAGCTTTTATCCAAAAGACAGGCAATATGAATGTTGATGAGGCTGTTGAGAAAGAGGAACCCCCAAACACTGTTGGTGGGAATGTAAATGAGTATAGCTACTATGGAGAACAGTAAGGAAATTTCTCAAAAAAAAAAAAACAACTAAAAATAGAACTACCATATAATCCAGCAATCCTACTGCTGGGTATATCCAAAAGAAAGGAAATGAGTATGTTGAAGAGATACCTGTATTCTCATGTTTGTTGCAGCACTATTTACAAGAGCCAAGATATGGAATCAACCTAAGTGTCCATCAACAGATGAATGGATAAAGAAAATGTGGTACATATACACAATGGAACATTATTCAGCTACAGAAAAGAATGAAATCCTGTTATTTGTAGCATCATGAATGGAACTGGAGGACATTATGCTAAGTGAAATAAGCCACGTACAGAAAGATGAATTCCACATGTTCTTACTCATATGTGGGAACTACAAGTTTTAAGAATTGAACTCACAGAGATAGAGACTAGAATGATGGTGACCAGAGGCTGGGAAGGGCAGTGGACAGGGGATAGAGTGGGAATGGTTCAGTCGAACAACAGGATGATTATAGTCAACCATACTTTATTGTGTGTGTATATATATATATATATATTTTTTTTTTTTAGACAGAATCTCACTCTGTTGCCCAGGCTAGAGTGCCGTGGCATCAGCCTAGCTCACAGCAACCTCAAACTCCTGGGCTCAAGTGATCCTACTGCCTCAGTCTCCCAAGTATCTGGGATTACAGGCATGCGCCACCATGCCCGGCTAATGTATTCTATATATTTTTAGTTGGCCAATTAATTTCTTTCTATTTTTAGTAGAGACGGGGACTCGCTCTTGCTCAGGCTGGTTTCAAACTCCTGACCTTGAGTGATTCTCCCTCCTCGGCCTCCTAGAGTGCTAGGATTATAGGCGTGAGCCACCGTGCCCGGCCTTATTGTACATTTTTAAATAACTGAAAGAGTGGAGTCAGAATGTTCCTCACACAAAATGATAAATGCTTGAGGTGGGACACCCCAGTTATCCTGATTTGATCATTACCCGTTGCATAAAAACATCCTATGTACCCCCCAAATATGTACAAGTTTTATGTACCCATAATA